GGAATGTGTTCCATTTTTATATAGTGAACAGCTATTGGCCAATAAATATGCTCCATTTTTATATAGTGGACAGCTATTGGCCAATAAATGTGTTCCATTTTTATATAGTGGACAGTTATCGGCCAATAAATGTGTTCCATATTTATATAGCAGACAGCTATCGGCCAATAAATGTGCTCCATTTTTATATAGTGGACAGCTATCGGCCAATGAACGTGTTCCATTTTTATATAGTGGACAGCTATTGGCCAATAAATGTGCTCCTTTATTTATATAGTGGACAGCTATTGGCCAATAAATGTGTTCCATTTTTATATAGTGGACAGCTATCGGCCAATAAATGCAACTGATGAAGAATGTCATCCAAAAATTAAACAGATCACTAACTATGGTCCTTTGTGAACCATACTTACACAGTCAATTAAATACTCCTCCGTTATTGGATTATCCAGAAGTTTTTCCACAATTCTGAAAGCTCTTTCCTCACAAGCAACTTGCTTCCTGATTTTTGCTTCCAAAGATGCCTTCCTGGAAGAAAAGAGTTGATAAAAAATATGACCAGTCATATTATATTTCCTAATTATTATGTTATTTAAAGCAGAATGTAAGACCTTTATATCATTACCATACTTTGTAAAAACAAAAATATTTGATATGTTAATAATAATAATAATAATTTATTAACACTTACTCATTCCCCGGAGGGATTGGCAATGGTTACAAAAGTTTAAGAAGGAATAAAAGGTTACAAAAAAGTAAATAGATAAAATAAAACAAACTAACCAAATACATTACAGAGAATAAAAAATATTAGGATTAAATTATAATACTACAATAGATAGAAAACAAAATGCAAAACTTAAACACTGAAAGAGGATTGTTACCTTGCTACAGGGAGTGTTAGACCACTGTTGTCTAGCAAGGCTATGAATGAATTTATTTTGGGGGTATATCTTTGGCATGACATCATTAGGTGATACACATCTTTTACTTGGTTTTGATCACAAAGGTTGCATAATCTATTAGATGTCTGCCAGTCTCAGTTATCAAGTTATGGTCACTGAGGCAGAATTTAGTTAAATTTTGGCGCAACTCAATATTTTGCAGGGTAACAAGGTAGGTTTCAAAGCAAAATAGTTTGCTAAGTCACTGTATGTTTTTAATTTATTTTTTTCATTTTGTTTTGATCGATTGGCGTTATTATCATATACTATGTCACATTTATTTTGCTAATATCTTGACACATTGAAAACCTTTATTAACATGAAAGATACTTTCATACAGGAGTGGAGCACTATGGAACATATGGAATTGGGATGAGAGAGTAAATATGTGGTAGGGTCTATGGGGTAGCCAGGCATTTCAAAAAGGTATTTTGGTTCCTGCGTGTGCAAAGCATAAACAGGAGATAATCTTGAACCGATGTCTGTTTGTAAACCATAGCTGTACATGACACCATGGATGTACTACCATTAGTACGTCCATGATGCCACTAACTAGACCATCTTCAATACTATATTTGAAGTGTGTCTCCAAAAGAAAAAAAAAATCAATAAATTGTATATTGAATCATTAAAATAAAATAAAATTTAATTTTCTTTGTGGCCCTATATAAACGAATGCCATTTATCTAAGCACAACTAGCAGAGCAAATAATTTATAACAAATAGGAGAGAAAAATTAAAGGTTTTGGGAAATGTCAGACCACTTTTTTTAGAACGGATACTTCAAAATTAAATACAAGTTATGGAAAAAAATTACTTTTTACTTCTCCTATATATAATTTTGTGGTATTGGTTGAATAATAACTCGATATATGAGTGAATTTCCGACACACCTACAGTCTAGACGAGCAGTCATGCAAAAATATAGTACAGTGCAACTGGCTGATTTATATTATGGACACAGAAGTTGATGTTGTCAACAAACCAGGACATGCGATGCGACGACGTTATTATTTAAACTCACACCTTTTAGGATCTATTTCCGGATCACCCTTTTTCTTTCTTGACTTATGTGCCTTCGACATTTGCGTTATTACGGTTGCAATATGTAACGGGAAGTGTCAACGACAATCGATGTATCCACGGAAGTTATAACAATTCTTCTCTCGCATATGTTCACATGGACGCAGCCATTTTGAAATAAGACTATGTTAAATGAGCCTCGTTCGTGAATAGTCTTGGATGATGATAGACAAATTGTAATACAAACCATAAAACTAACAACTTACAAAAATATCTAATATATTAGTTTGAAACTGATATTGTAGTCAGATATGTATAATATGCAAAACAGAGTGCAATAATTATTATTCATTTCAAACATTCTTCCCGATCGAGGTGATATATCAAAATGGCAGATGAAAACAAAGATGAGCATGTGCCGTTCCATCGTAAAAGATTTGTTTGTATTGAATATCCAGGCTTTGTGAAAAATGTTGACAAAATGCTGTCAACTCTTGGTGGTGAAGACATAATATCAAAGGTAAGAAATTATTCGATGGCAGTACTTTTAAACTTGAGTACTAGTATATTTCGTTGATAGACGGTTAAAGCGCGGTAGTCGTCGCTCTGCGCATGTGCGAGATATATGGGTCTTATATAAACAAAGATGGCGACTTTGACTGTTGCGCAGATCAACGAGTATGAACTGAGACGTTTTTAGGCAATTTTCATGGGATTGGAAGGTATCGAAGGAGTCACCGTCGGTAATCAGTGCTAATTGGTGGCTAGCCCTGCGTACAGTGCTGTGTGTACGGGGACGCGTTCGGTTGATAGATGTCCCCACCACAGCCCTGTGAACTTCCATAGACAAAGTCCGGGACTTTGAAAAATATAACTTTTTTAATGGAATAACATGCCCAGGTACCAAAAATGATGATCGATTATCAGATATATCGAGAACTCCCAGTTCGGAGTCCAATTGTGGATGAAATC